GTGTTCCGTTGTCTATCATATCTGATCGAGATCCGAGATTCACTTCCAGGTTCTGGAAAGCTTTGCACGAGGCTCTGGGTACTCGTTTGAATTTCAGTACAGCTTTTCATCCTCAAACTGATGGACAGTCTGAGCGAGTGATTCAGGTGTTGGAGGATATGTTACGAGGTTGTGTGATTGATTTTCGTGGTAGTTGGGAAGATTTCTTGCCATTAGCTGAGTTTGCTTACAATAATAGTTATCAGGCGAGTAGTCGTACGGCATCGTATGAGGCTCTATATGGACGTAGATGTTGGACTCCTATATGTTGGACAGAGTTGCATGATAGAAAAACTTTGGGTCCAGACTTGGTTCGAGAGACTGAAGATACTGTCAGACTGATCCGTGATCGCTTAAGAGAGGCATTTGATAGGTAGAAGTCATATGCAGATAAGCGACGTAAGGATATCGAGTTTGAGGTTGGAGATCAGGTTTTTCTCAAGGTATCTCCATGGAAGAAAGTATTGAGATTTGGACGTAAGGGTAAACTGAGTCCGCGATTTATTGGGACGTATCGTATTATGAAGAAAGTTGGACATGTTGCTTATCAGCTTGAGTTGCCTTCCCAGCTCAGTCGTATTCATGATGTTTTTCATGTATCTATGTTGAGGCGATACCGTCCAGATCCAGATCACATCATTCAGGTTGATGAGGTAGAGCTGAGACATGATTTGTCATATGAGGAGGAACCTGTTCAGGTTTTAGAAAGGGATGAGCGAGTTCTTCGGAATAGGCGTATTCCAATGGTCAAAGTTCAGTGGAGTAATCGTAGCCCCTCAGAAGCTACTTGGGAGACAATGGAGGTTCAATTTCCTCATATGTTTTCATAAGGTAAATTTCGAGGACGAAATTTCTTGTAGAGGGGGAGAATTGTAACAACCCGAAAATTTCAAAATAATATTTAATTGGGAATTGAGGTTTTAATTGTGAAAATTGGTAAATTTTTTGAGACTAAATTGAAAGATTTTAAAACTTGTAGCTTGTTTTAGAGTTAAAAAAAATTCAGGGACCAAGCCTTGAATTTGCCCAATAAAAGTAGGTAAGTTTGGTGTATATTACTGGAGTTGGTTTTGGAAATCAGAAACCAATTCCTCCCAAATTCCTTCACCCAACCTCAACTTCCGACGACGATCTCGACGCCGTCCGAATTCCGATCGTCGTTTTGAAAGTATCATCGTGTTCGTTATCGAGTCAAGAACAATCCCCTTAAATTAATTGAAGCGAAACGCTGCCAAACTCCGTGAATTTCAAGTCAAAGCATAAACGTTTTTTTAGCTTAATCGCCTAGAAAATCATAAATTCATCGCCGATCGTTGCTCATTTTACGACACCTCCCGCACCATCGTGTTCCTTGTGCCGTTCCGAGTCCGCCGGTGTCATCCTCTGTCTCCTTCGACGGCGGCGCATGGGGAGGTGAAGCGGTTAAAGTTTCCGATTTGATGAAATCGAGTTCTCCGCCGTTCAAAAATTTGAACCGATCTTTGTAAGTATCTCGAAATCGCTCAAAATAATTTTTAGAAAATTTTCCGTGATTTTTACAGCCCCGGAGGAGGTCCCACGCGTCACACGCGCCGCCGCAGGGCGAGTGCATAACTGGAAAACCGGTTTGACCGGTCTGAACCGACCCGACCCGACCGGTTACCCGACCCGACCGTTGATCGTTTACGGGTGATATTCTAGGAATTAATTCGATTTTGTGTTATTCTAGGAATTAATTCGAAATGGGTGTTATTTTGGTAATTTTTTCGAAAAAAATTGATATTCGAGGAATTAATTCGAAATGATGTTATTTTGGGAATTAATTCAAAAATGGTGCTATTTTGGGAATTTATTCGGAAAAGGTGCTATTTTAGGAATTTAATTCAAAAAGTGCTATTTTAGGGATTTAATTCGAAAAGGTATTATTTTGATAATTATTTTAAAAAGGGTGCTATTTCTATAAAATGATTGACAGTTTGTTGTCCACCTTTGACCAGAACTTTGATCGTCTTTGACCGGCTATTAAACAGCCGTTAATCTTTTCCGAGAATATCTATCCTGACAGTTTTTGACGTTTCGAATCCGTTTTTGGGGGTTTCACAAAATTCAAAACCTAAAGTGTCTGAATCGTCAGTCAAACCCGTTGACTTTGATTTTGACCAAGAATTCAAATTTTCGGAAAGTTATACTTTATGTTTTTCGACGTCCTGAATCTGATTCCGAAGTTCGTTTTGCCAAATTCTAACTCGAAATTCCCGAATCGAGCTTGTAAACCCAAAATGCTTAATATTTTAATATTTTGATTATTTATTTGAGATTTGGTTAAGGAATTGATTTAAAATATATATATATATATTATTAAGGTACTCGTGTTTCACTTAAGCAAGGATCAGTTAGGTCTGATGTTGTCCGTTCGTTAGATCAGCCTAAACCGCGTACTACGAGAATTATCGTAGTTTTTCGTATATTATTTAAATAATATTTAGATTATTTATATTAGGTTTCCAATATGGATTTTTCCAATTCGTAGGATCTAGCGCTGCAGCTGAGCGTGATCGACAAACCCACCAATAAGCTTCCCTATCTGATTTCTCAGACTGTTACAGGTGTGTTTACTGACAGTGTTATCTTACTGTTTTAAACTATCATATAAATGGTTTCAAATTTATGATGATGTTGAATATTATTACAACATGATACATGTTTTATGAATATTGGTTACCGACACCTGATTTACCGGATATTACTGATCTGATGTATGGTTTATGTATTTTCTGCATATGATTTATGAGCATGAACTATTTTCATGTTTTAATGAATTAATATTTATTTCACTTAAATACATACATGTTTATTTCTGTTACTGGGATATTATTAAGGAAAGTATTTCAGGCTCCTTTGCTGTGTGCTCAGGGTAAGTCCTTACTGGTGTGCAGGTGGGTGTATGGTTCTGGGGAACCTACACATTGTAGTGAGTGGAGTGACTGGATGGGGAAGTTATTACTGCAGACTCCTTTGATATGTGCTTAGGGTAAGTCTTTACTGGTGTGCAGGTGGGTATATGGTTCTGAGGAACCTACACATTGTAGTGATGAAAGCGACTGGATGGAGACGTTATTACTGCAGGCTCCTCAGTTTCGTGCTTAGGGTAAGTCCTTACTGGTGTGCAGGTGGGTGTATGTTTCGGGAAAATATATAAAAGATAGAAACATGAGTGATTATATGGAAATAATGATCATATTTTAAAATATGTTTGATAACCGATTTTATTGGAATATTTTATTCGTATGTTTTTATGCACTGTTTAGAGCACACTGGGCTTTTTAGCTCATTCTATAGTTTTTAACTTTTTCAGATAACAGCAGACCGTAAGCTAGCAGATTTGGCATCAGGGGAAATCTACTACTTATTTTGTACGAACATATATTTCTATATGTTTTTCAGTTATGTTTGGTGACATTATTTGATATCGTTTTAGACATATCTGTATTATTAATATTTTGTTTTGTACTATATTTAATGTTCTATAAGTTATATAAAAAAAACCTCTGAATGGGATATGTGACCACTTAGGTTTGAGTCTAACTTACAGACCGGGTCTGGGGGGTTACATCCCACAAAATGAACCAAAACTTAGAATCTCATAAACCCCCACTAAACTCGTTTTTGTGAAACTTGGCCAGAACTTACCATAGTGGGTTTGAATGAAAGCTTGAAGGATAAGGATGGTGAATCTTACCTTAGAATTCACAATGGAGGCTTGAATTTCTTAAAGCTCCTAACTTTGTTTGGTTTTTGAAGAGAAATGAAAGCAAAGAGTAAAAAGAAAGAAAACAAAGCATTGTTGAAGAAAAGGAGATAGCAAAAATCAGACTTGAGATCATTCCTAATTAATGGGATTCAACCTTTGTTTCAAAAATAAGGTTAATTACTTCACTAGTTCTCCTTCATTTGATGCATGATTAAAATCAACACTTTTCAAGCTTGGTGGGTTAATATCAAGCCCAAATCAAATCTACTTGGGTCCAAAACTTCATATACTAAAGGAAAATAATTCTAAAACTCATTCGCATAACTCAAAATTCCTAACCCTATTTCAGGGCGTTACATATTGATCTAGATGAAGCTTGTTTGTTATTGTCTTGTTCTCTCGTATTTTAAATTTTTATATTGAATTTAAATATACAATTTGTATTTGGAATTTAAATATACAATTTGTATTTGGAATTAGTTTTCTCATGACATTCGACTCTGATTTATAATTATTGATAGTCTTTCAATATTTTAATTTATTGTTATGAATTACTTATAGATACAATCAAATATTTTCATATTTATCTTTATTATATCTTAAATGAGTTTTAACATTTTTATATGATATATCTAAATTGACAACTTACCCCTTATAAATATAATTATCCAAACTCAGACCCAATAACATTTTTTTTACCTATCGCCATTTAACTTTAAAAGTAGTAAATTTGGGTAAGAGAAAACCCAGATCTACTGGGGGAAGGAATCTAGGACAAACAGAAGACAATCTTTGCAAAGATTCTAGTTTTATGGTACTACTACATGAATGAATTTTTCTGAACTCGTTGAAGCTGGTTTTCAGTGTTAAACCAGAAAAGGATTGGTTTTTCTGACAAAGATTAAAACAGCTGATTTGCTTGTTGAAACCGACTCTCAACCGAAACAGAATGTGGCTTTGTCGGCAGATTGCTTTATCGTCAGCAAACCCCACTTTCTGTTCTGCTTTCTTTGTGGAAGAAAGCTGTCCATTTTTTTTCGCCGACCCGGGGTTGGCTTCCTTCTTTCTTCTTTCTCATAATAATCAAATCCCAAGCATCGTTTTTTAAAATTATTAATTTAAAAAATACAAATGCCTTGCTCTCTTTGATAACTAAAACTAATTTTTTTAATGAGGGTTTGGTTTTTAGATTAATGGGATATACGACAGTTCATTGCCTTGTCACCGAAAACGCGTCGAGTTTCCAGAGTTAGATTTATTTCTTCTTCATTGTTTTTTTTTTTGTTTGCATAGTGTAGCAACCAGATCTGCATTTTGAGTTTTGTACGAAACGCAAAACCAAACATTCTTCGCTGGTATTTAGGAATATTAAGTGTCTTTATTTCTGCTTAATGATCTGCATTTTGGGTGTGGATTTGTTGCTTTCACCGGATCTTGTGCTGACATTTTCTTTTCTTTTCTTCTTTTAGAATTAAGTGATTCGGAAGAAGGAAGCTTGTTGTTTTGAGATTTGTAGGGATATTGTTCTTTGTGAATTTGTGATTTGATTAGCTTTAATGGGTTGTTGAGTTTGGGGAGCATTAACCTTGGAGTGGTGGGCTATGGCATCTAGAGAAGGCAGGCGTCGTGGTCATGAGCTGGTGCCTCTGGCAGCATTGATAAGCAGGGAGATGAAGAACGAGAAGATGGAGAGGCCGAGTGTGCGATACGGCCACTCGGCTCAGTCTAGGAAAGGAGAAGATTATTTCTTGGTTAAAACGGATTGTCATCGAGTACCCGGCAATCCTTCGTCTACCTTCTCGGTTTTCGCGGTAATCGATCTTTTCATTCGCAGTTTCTATGTCTGATCAATATTTTTAGCTAATATGCAAGATTGACTAGCTTAGGGACTGGTAGGATGTTATACATTTTCAAATGAATTGTTGCAACTATTGTCTTCTGCCTTCAGATCTTCGATGGGCACAATGGTAATGCTGCAGCGATTTATACGATGGAGCATCTTTTGAATCATGTACTGAGTGCTGTTCCTCGTGGCCTTGGACGGGAGGAGTGGTTTCAAGCTTTGCCTCGAGCATTAGTTGCCGGATTTGTGAAGACCGACAAGGAATTCCAGAGTAGAGGCATGGAACTTTGGCCTTCTTTGGTCTTAGTGTTGTTTTTGAATTCATACATTGACCGATTCTATCTAACACTGGTATTGAATTGTCTGCAGGAGAAACATCGGGTACTACTGCTACATTCGTTATAGTTGATGCGTGGACGGTGACTGTTGCTTCCGTTGGGGATTCTCGTTGTATTTTAGATACCCAGGGTGGTGGAATCTCCACCTTAACCGTTGATCACAGACTTGAAGACAACGTCGAAGAGTGTGTCTTTATCTCAATAGATCTCCTTTCTTCCAATTTGGGAACAGAATACTTAATTGGTGCCGTACTTTGATTACTTCAGGAGGGAACGCGTAACTGGTAGCGGAGGTGAAGTTGGGAGGCTTAGCATTGCTGGTGGTGCTGAGGTCGGTTTTTTATAGCCTCTTTAACTTTGTTTTCTTCTCTCCTAATAACATGTACGGGATTTTATGCAACTTTTTTCCGGATTGTGACAGATTGGTCCTCTTCGATGTTGGCCGGGAGGTTTATGCCTTTCTAGGTCAATAGGAGATATGGATGTTGGAGAGTTTATAGTTCCCGTACCATATGTAAAGCAAGTAAAGGTAAGCTTCTTGGACCTTTTGCTATGTTGTTGTCAATGTTACTGTCACTTTCTAACACATTTAAAGTTTGTAAATGAAATTGTTTGATGTTTCTTATTGTTTAAAAAAGCTGTCAAAGGCTGGCGGGAGGCTTATAATTGCTTCGGATGGCATTTGGGACGCCTTATCATCGGAAATGGTTGCTAAATCTTGTCATGGATTACCGGCTGAACTTGCCGCTAGACAAGTTGTTAAGGTGATTCAAAATTCATTGTCATGCAGTTTCTCCTTTCTTACCCTTGTTTTAGACCTGCCCTTTTTCCTGTTTTCCTAATATCATTTTTTGTTTAGGAAGCATTAAGGTCACGAGGGTTAAAGGATGACACAACTTGCATCGTTGTTGACATAATTCCCCCTGAAAATCCACCACCGCCTTCTCCTCTTCCCAAAAAGCCAAATAAACTGAGAGCTTTTTTATTCCGAAGCAAGTCTCATGATTCCGCCAATAAATTAGCAAAGAAGCTTTCAGCTGTTGGTACAGTAGAAGAGTTGTTTGAAGAAGGCTCAGCAATGCTTGCTGAAAGGTTAGCACTTAGCACTAGCATTAGACATCAAATGATCAAACGAACACCTTCTCTACTGTCGTCTTTGCCACCAAAACACAATCGTTAAAATAATCTATAATACCCGACCTCAGATGTGAGTGTCGGATCCAAATATTTGAAATAAAATACACCGTTTTCATGTATTATCGCAGACTAGGAAACGATGAGTGGGTGGGGCAAACGACATCGGGTATATTCACATGTGGCGTGTGCCAAGTGGACCTTACTCTGAGTGAAGGCATTTCGGTTCATGCAGGTTCCATATTCTCGAGTTGCCGCAATAAAAAGGATGCCATGGAAGGTAAACGTCCTAGTTGAGTTAAAGTGGCATAGCTTTTCAGCTTATAGTAATAGTATTTGCAACCTTGTCCCTCAAATTCTAATTCTTTTGATAGCAGTCCTTTCTTAATAGGTTAGGCAATTGTTTCAATCCTACTACTATGATGTGCAAATGTATATGTATTCCCACTCATTAATTTATAAATCTAATAATATATGGTGTCTAATATGAAATTTCCAAAAACCTTCAGACGGTAATGCTATTAATACGAATCTTTTGGTAATAAAATGTGTTTCAAAACAGTCTCTCATTTGAAGAGCTTTGGAACAGCCTTTCCCTTGCTTCACTTGCCTGCAGTTTTGGCACAATCCAGAAAATAAAGTATAAGAGATTATTATAAGGTAGTATATGTTTAGAATTCTTAGCCTATTGATAATGTGCATATATTCTACAAACGCAGTTGCTCGAATCCGTATACTTTAGGGAGAACAACATTTCTTTATACCAAATATTACTAGTTGAAGTTGTTAAGATTAGTCCACTCAATGCAGTTTCTCCCATCTAAACCTTGGCATGAACATTAACATCAAGCTAAATTGCGGTATTACATAAGATTTCGAGAATGGATGACAAACCTGTTTTTCCAGTTTATGCAACTTGTAACAATGGCGAGCAGGATTGTTTGGGTCAGAGAACCGGACTGTATACCGACCCACAGGCCGACCCCTTTCAACTGTAGCCAGAAGGCAAGGGTGGCGGGGACAGGTATTCCGACAAGATAAAATGCTGCAAGGTTAACATAAGCTCCTACATGCTGCCATCCATATCCCCTTGCAACACCTGATCCAAAGCATGTAACCATTTATAAGACTACCACTATTAACATTCATCTCCTTGGAAATATATTTTAATTCTTCACCAAGAAGATAACGAGTTTAAGTGTTTAACCTATAAGAACCCCCTGTAAGCTGTCAAGAATAACAGACACACAAACCAAGGGAGTCATGGTTGTCACATAATCCACCACTTCCTTCTCAATGCTGTAAAAATAACCGAAAAACGCGTCGGTTTGCAAACAGGGATCTGGAAACTATAAGGGTCTCTAAAACTGCAAGAGCCATATCAGCATACACCGCTACATGCGCTGCTTGGGGTCTCCCTGCTCCTAGTTCGTTCGAAACTCTAGTAAACTCTAGTACTATATATTCGAATTGGAAAAGATTCTTGGTTAAATTAACTTGGTTTGAAAAAGCTGCAATTTTAGTCAGTGAAGAATTACATTGTAGGCATGTGCATGCATATCAGGACATACCTTGTTGCAGCACCAAGTCCATATGGTATTGCATAAAGTGTTGAGATGGTGTTGAGACTGCTTGGGAAAGTAGAAAAACTTATTAGTAGAAAAATTACAATATGATGCATCGATCCAAAACAAAAGCAAATAAACATACCATACAGACAGGACGGATATTTCCAGATGAGGATTTGGTAAAAGGCCAGAAAGCAGGATAAGTAGCTCAAATGACCACCAACCACCATTCAAGGCTGCAATTGTTTGAACAAGGAACACATTAAGGTTCTTCAACAGCATAGGTATATATATTGAGGTGAGAAGAAGGGGAGATAACATTCCAGATCATAACAGCAGAAGGGATAGCGAATAGAAAGAATTTCGTAATTCCTTGGAATAGTTCCATCGTAATGGGGACACGAGTTTTCATACAGGTCGGAGAGTGCCACATGTAAAGTGCAAGGAAGATCACATTCAACCAGCTTGAGATGCTAATGGCTAATGCTCCTCCTATAGTGTCTAACCCAAACTTGAAGACTAGAGCCCAACATAGAGGTATATGTACTAAAAGACTGATACAAAAGCATATGAGCAAGGGAGTGATCAAACTTTGTGTCTGAAAGTAGCGAACAAGTGGCTGAAAAGCAGCATAGGCGAATAGTGCCGGGATAAGCCACCGAACGAATTTACTGGCTTCGTGTGAGATTAAGGGATCTTGACCACTGAAAATAAGCAGCCTTCCCATGTATAGCCATAGGGGAGACAGAGGGATGCATACTAAGATCAAACAAAATATAGCAGTGTAGGTATGGATTCCCACTTTTCGGTATTGTTGAGCTCCATAAGCCTGTCCGCACAGCGTTTCCAATGCACAGGCCATTCCCAGCTGATAAACACACACAAATTACAAAATTTAGTAGGTTGAAATTCTATAAGCAGATAGTAATAGTGACAATTACTCATTAGCATCCAAGTCTTGCCTTTGCGGATTTAGTAGAGAAAACTAAAGTGATGCTTCCAGTTTGCCAGTTGAAAAGGGTTCAGTCATATGTTCATTGCACAAGACAAAAAGGTTAATCGGGTAACTTAAAGTCCAAAACGTCCAAAAAATTTCAATATCCATTTGGTTCATAAAACATATTTCGGAAATTAAATAATGAAATATGAATTACAGTATATATATTTTTTCTGAAAATCATTTCCTAATGTTTAAAATCATTTTTCTCCTTTAACTTTTTTTAAAATATTACCTAATATAACAAACAATATTATTCATAATACAACAATTTAATTGATATTATTTTGAAAGGGTGTTGTTGACAAACCCCCTGAAAAATGGGATGTACTAAGATTACCTTAAATAGTCTTGGTTCTTTATAAGACAATCACATCTAAAGGTGTGAAACTTTGTTTAGCTTAATAAAATAGTTTTTTAAAACACCTTAGTGATTATGTGATCTTTTGTTCTCTGGCTCTGTTCTTTTCACTTGATATTGACACAACTGTTTTGTTTGACCAGCTCAAGCAAATTGTAGCTTCCTTGCCAAAAAAAGTTGATTGTTTTTGTTACCCATCATCACCGTGATCATGTTTTTGATTTAAAAACATTTAATAACATTTTAAACTATAAATTCCAAACACCAACACGTGATGATTTGTTGCATTGGAGTAGAAGGTGATGCTCCACCACCCAGCAAAGCACTTCATGCTTATACGGTTGATACTATTTCTGGTGGTATATCGTTCATCCTCTTTGGTTTCTTCAACACTCCTGCGATGCTCAAGTTCATCGTATTGTAGCACACTTGAATGGATGAGCGCTTCTTTCCATGGATGCTCGTTTTAATATGCTGGGGGATGACCTTTTAGTATTACGTTGTGACATGGATTGTCTCACTGCTCACTTCTTTCCATCTCCTCCACATCCTTCCGTTGAGCTGATTAACAAGGATGTTTACGCTTTGAGGTGTGGTTCTTAGGACTTGGAGTTGAACTTAGAGGTCTAGTTTTTATGTTTTTCTGGGATCGAACTTTGGTCTTGGTGACCATTAGGCTGTTTTTAATATCTGTGGGATATTGTCATTTTGGTTTTTGGTTTTTTTATGTTTAATCAGATTTTGGTTATTTTCTTGTGCATATCGAATATCTTATGAACTGCATATGTTTTAGGTTAGTATTCTCCTATTGAGCTTGGTTGCTTTTGATATAAACATTTGATATTTTCAAATTTCTTTTTCTTTGAAAGAGATGTTTTCAAATTTCAATTGGTGATATTATGCTTTACTCGCTTTCTGATATACCAAAATCGGGTTCAATTAAAGAAAATGTGCATATGTTCATATTGTCCATGTAATAATGTATTGGTAGTGAACACTAGATAAATTGATCATGTAAGTGTGCTTATTATATTGTAATCTTCATGCAATTGTGCTTATTGTCTATGCATTGGCAAGGACAGGTGTTTATAGGAATTCCCTATATTTAACTTGCTGGTACATGAAAACAAGCTGCTGACTTCACTATTTATTAAAAAAGGATGTATTTGGAACCATATTTACATGTTATTTCATAATGTTATACAATCAACTAAGGCTATTCATTACCATTTTCATGCCAACTGAGATTGTTTCTTCTCAAATAGCATGCTCTTAGTTTTATATTTATGGTTAAAATTTCTATACTATATACTGACTGATGGTTTTCTTCGGGTCTTTCTGTTATCCAAAAATGCAATCCTAATGCTACACTGCTTGCACATGAAAACACTATGCGTCGCATTGGAAAAGGTCAGAAATGGTGTTTATGTTTGAATTCTTATCATTTTCTTTCAATAGCCTAGCTGCTAATTACACTAATTGGAAAGGGAGACCCAACTCTAAATTCACTTTAATTCAGCTATTAATAGAAAAACAAAAGGCTACTAAACATGTTTTCCCTTTTTTACCATGCGAGGCAGGTAAATTCCCCATCCAAGCCTTATGGTTCATTGAATGATTGAAATAAGTATATACCCCATTAAATAACTTGAATAACTTGTCATACGTATAATTATATCACTCAGAACCTTGACTTACTTCACGATTCTCTGTCAAGATCATGGATTGGTTGTGGTCATGTGTTGACAGGTGACTGGTCTCTTGGCTATACCTCAGTTTTGTTAAAATTCCAAAGTCCAAATTGGCTGCACATTTCCACCGAAAGTGCAAATAATTAAATGCACCGAAAAATGGGTTGTTTTTTTGTTGATTTTTTGGCAATGGTAAAAGCTCAATTTTAGTCATTGTACTTTAGGATATTTACAAATTAGTCCTTAAAGCTTCAACTATAAATACCCTAGCTCATTTAGCTTCAAAACCATCCCAAAGCATTCTAGCTTTCTTCCAATACTAGAGAGAATTTACAGAGTTTCTTGAGAGTTGTTTTCTCCTTTTTATCAAGAGAGAATTATCATTGTTTTCTCCTTGGTAGATCGAGAGAGGTTGTAATTCCTATTTTTCTCATAGTGAAATTCTTCTACCGTTGTCTGTGGTTTTTACCCTATATTATTTAGGGGTTTTCCACGTAAAATTTATGTCTCTTTTATCTTCAATTTTTATTTTATTAAATTATCAGTTACATTTTTGCTCTATCCGGTAGCCGTCTTCCGCAATAATTGGTATCAGAGCCAGATTTGAGTGTGTAATATCTGCTTATTGTCTTTGTGGTTGCCACCAAAAGGTGGATCCTCCAACATAAGAAAATAAGAAGTTATTACCCATTTTTTTAAGGTTGCAGAGAACTATTCACGATAGTGAAATATTATGAGCTATCCGTAAAAGAAGCTATGGCAACGAAATTTGATATTGAAAAATTCAATGGGAGAAATTTCTCATTGTGGAAATTGAAGATGGGGACTATCTTGAGGAAAGACGGTTGTCTAGCAGCTATCAGTGAAAGGCCAGTGGATTTCACAGATGACAACAAATTGTAGGAGGATCTGTGTATAGTTGCAATGATCATGCCTTAGAGATCATTGGCGTGGGAACCATCAAATTGAAGATGTATGATGGAACAATTAAAGTTGTTCGAGATGTGCGGCACGTGAAAGGCCTGAAGAAAAATTTATTATCCTACAGATTGTTGGATAATAATGCAAGCAAGATTGAAACATGGAAATGAATCATGAAGGTGTTCCGTGGAGTGCTTGTGGTGCTGAAAGGCGAAAAGATAGCAGCAAACTTGTACATACTGAAGGGAGAGACTTTGCTAGAAGCAGAAGCCTCTGTTGCCTCATGTAGTTCAGATTCTGCAATGCTATGGCATCAGAAACTTGGACACATGTCAGAACAAGGAATGAAAGTCCTTATGGAGAAAAAGCTACTTTCAGGCTTAACAAAGGTATCACTTACTTTGTGTGAGCATTGCATAACAAGTAAGCAGCACCGGTTGAAATTCAACACGTCAAATTCTAGAGGTAAAATTGTTCTAGAATTGGTTCACTCTGACGTATGGCAAGCACCAGTTACATCCCTAGGTGGAGCAAAATACTTTGTCTAATTTATTGATGACTACTCCAAGAGATGTTGGGTGTATCCTATTAAGAAGAAGTCAGATATTTTTTCAACTTTCAAAAACTTCAAACCGCAGGTGGAACTTGATTCTGAAAATAAGATCAAGTGTTTCAGAACAGATAATGGGGGAGAATATACAAGCGAAAAATTTGATGACTTTTGCAGGAAAGAAGGCATCAAAAGACAGTTCACAGTGGCGAACACTCCTCAACAAAATGGAGTGGCAGAGCGGATGAACAAAACCTTGTTAGAAAGAATAAGAGCAATGTTGAGGGATGCAGGCCTAGAAAAATCATTCTGGGCAGAAGCAGTCAATATCGCCTGTTATTCGGTGAATCGAGCTCCATCAACTGCAATAGAGCTGAAGATACCAATGGAGATGTGAACTGGTAAACCAGCTGATTATTCAAACCTCCATGTATTTGGAAGTATTGTGTACGTGATGTACAACTCCCAAGAAATCTCAAAGTTGGATCCAAAATCCAGGAAATGCAAATTCTTGGTGCTGATGGAGTCAAAGGGTATCGCTTGTGGGATCCCACTGCCCGCAAAGTGATCATCAGCATGGATATTATCTTTGTAGAAGATAAACTACAAAGAAAAGAAGAAGATAATAGCATTGAAAAGTCAGAGACTACACAGATACATGTGGAAAATGAGGTTGAAGAAGGAGATTCTTCTGAAGCAAAACCAGCACATGATGAACAAGAACCAGAGAGTTCTGAAGCTCCAACAACTCGTCAATCAGATCGTGTGAGAAGACATCCTAATTGGCACTCAGATTATGTTATAGAAGGAAATGTTGCATACTGCCTTTTAACAGAGGACGGTGAGCCATCAACATACGAGGAGGCAATGAACAGCTCAGTTGCTTCACCATGGATGATGGCGATGCAAAAAGAAATTGAAGCCCTTCATAAAAATAATACATGGGACCTTGTACCACTACCACAAGGAAGGAATCCAATTGGTAACAAATGTGTTTTCAAAATCAAGCGAAATGGTGACGATCAAGTGGAGAGGTATCGTGCAAGACTGGTGGTCAAAGGATATGCTCAAAAAGAATGTATTGATTTCAATGAAATATTTTCTCCTGTGGTTCGACTAACAACAGTTCGAGTAGTTTTGGTAATGTGTGCTACATTGGACTTACATCTAGAGCAGCTAGATGTTAAAACAGCTTTTCTTCATGGAAATCTTGAAGAAGAAATTTATATGCTCCAGCCTGAAGGTTTTGAAGAAAAAGAAAAGAAGAACTTGGTTTGCAGGTTGAACAAATCTCTGTACGGTCTAAAGCAGGCACCGAGGTGTTGGTATAAGAGATTTGATT